GTACACGAAATAACTACATTATGATTCATGATTCTTCTTTCCATCACACTTTTCAGGCTTAAGATTGTCGACATTGAATTTTTTTTTAATGTGAAGCCCATATTTTATAATTACTGATTTGTTAAATTAAATTTGTCAATAAGAATTATTAAACAGCTGATAACGCGTGATTTGATTAGACATCACAATACCTACGACAAAGTCGGCGTGTTTAAATGGTGTGAATCAAAATATTAACAATAATTTAAAGATCATAAATAAACTTATAGTTTAATTTGCACTCGCACGGCGTTGTCGTTTTAAAACATTTTCAAAATGTCCACCGCCTTGTTCAATGCACTTTAATGACCGTTTCCGCAATTGTGGTTTTATTTTAGATAATACTGCAGTGTTACTTTTCACTTGTACAAAGGCGGTTATTATCTTATTTTTTAGTTCCTCGAAACTTGTTGTCTCTGTGTTACAAACTAGCGATTTAATTTGCCCCCACAAAAAAAAGTCGAGTGGCGTCAAATCAGCTGATCTAGGAGGTCAATGGACACGTGCGTAGCGTGCGTAGGTATTTGATGTCTGCCGACTGTCGCTGTTGGTGTTGCGTGTGTTAGAAAATGTATTAAAATATAAAAGTATTATATAAGAAAGGGTAGATTTATATTCATATATCGAATAAAACAATTGATTAAAACATCTTATAACATTTTATTTACTGGACATATTATAATTTTACAAAATATCGTCTTTCGTAAAGGGAAGCTATACAATATAATATACTTATCTCGTCTATATAGTCTTTCGGTAATTGTTTCTTTTAGAGTCGCTGCCCAATAGTTTCACTATAACCACAGGGTTTCAATTGAAGTTCTGGCCAAGGCTGCTGTCCGATGTAAAGTCCCTTGCCTTGGCGAAGAGCAATGTTTTATAGGTCCTCCTAACACCACACGGTATTCAAGATATTTACTTTTTAATTGTAACAAAATATATATTGAAAATATAATCTTATATATATATATTGAAAACATAACTCTTAAATAATAGAAAATATTTTAGTAAATAATATTTAGAAAGCGGGTTCCAATTTAACAGTATATTAAACACATATTTGACATGTTACCGCTTTTATACCCAAGTCTTATTCTTACTTTTTAATAATAATTCCTTAATTATAAATCAAATAATATTCTAAATACAATAAAATATTATTTTAAAGATTTAACAGTTTTTAAACAAAGCTGACTCCAATATAATAATAGTATATTAGACATTCGTTTGACAAATAATTGACGACACAACACTTTTGTAAGTCAAATCCTAACTATTCGATTATTTAAACTGTAAATGACAAGATATATATTTAAATACAAATAGTATATTTAATAAACATTGTATAATTATAGAACATATATCCTTATACGGCCATACTGACATGTACTTCGTTCTCGAAGTACACTTAACTCTCAACTCATTAATTTTCAACATACAAAAACAAATTTTGTACTATTATACCTACTGGATGACAATCCTTCATATTAACTACAATCTTTGGGCCACATATGAAACTTATCTATTAACAGTTCTTAATCGTTATATAATAAGCAACAATATAATCTGTAATAAACATGGTATATTCAATAGCAAGTTATCCTTACTTTGCCCAACCATACACCCGTTATCGGTGAAGTTAAATCACCCGCAGTCAGTGAATGCTGAACAACTGTTAAGTCATCTATCTCAAGTCAAGTCAATTATTCAAGTCAAATCAAGTCAAGTCAATTATCATATAATTCAGGTTTTTTTTTCTTTTTCTTTTTTTCTCTAATCACCTTAAGTGATCTTCTCTCATAATCACACCTTACTTTGAACGACCAAACACCCGCAGTCGGTGAATCTGAATCACCCGCAGTCAGTGAATGTTGAACAACAGTAAAGGCGTCCATCTCAATATTATCATAAACTCACATCACCTTAAGTGATCCTCTTTAATAATCTCACCTTACTTTGCACGACCAAACACCCGCAGTCGGTGAATCTGAATCACCCGCAGTCAGTGAATGTCGCCAACAGCTAAGGCGTCACAGTATTATTACTCCAAATACTCACAAAGCTAGTAAGTCATCCTCCAAAGCAGTTTTGTTCCACCCATTCACCAGGCCATACCTGAAGTTCTTCTTTAGCAACTACAATATTTCTTAAGTTGCCAATGCCTCTTAGTGAAAATCTGTAACTGTCTAAATTACCCGTTACTACATAAGTATACCTACCCGTTACTACATATTCTGTTCCTAAAGACATGATCAGAATGCTCCTTGAATTTATCAACCACAATTTTATGACGTTATTGAGCTGTTTTATAACGATAAGTTATATAGGAAAACACTTGTAATGCTCGTTACAACGGTAACAATACCCGATATACTTAAACGGGCGGTATTTATACAAAAACTTTTGTACCTAATTTAATATTAAATTTGTAAACTTAAATTAAACATTGTTTATCTTAATTATTCTAATGATTGTTATTTACGGACAAATATTATTTAATAATACATATTATTATTATATTACAGGATTATGTAACATTAAATATTAAAGATTAATATATTACACCGGAAGTTGATAAGTAGCAGATCAGTAAAATAAGATTCTAGTAGCTTAATCCTTACATTATACATAATAAAACAAAATTATTATAGCATTGATTAATCGACATAATTTGAGATACTTAATATAAAGTTTCTTTCAGCTGTTACATCTACAATTTCAATTTGATTATTATTTATCACTGTTTAGTCGATTTTATATGGCAGGAACATTAGAGATTCTAGCGATAACTATTTACATAGGAGAAAAAAACCCGTCGATTTTAAGACTTTTTGTAATTTTGGATAATTAAACTTTCCACAAACCGCTCGGCCAGTCTGACACATCAGTAAAAAAAAATAATGTATTAATCATATTTGTAATCGTTAAGATATATTGCTTTACCTGACCATTATAACGTGACGTGAGGGTAGACAACATCATATGGTGTCTAGCTTGCCATTCGTTAAATAACTCTTACATTGGTGTCTGCTTCCTTTCCAAAGTGTGGCAGAGCGACATCATTATGCCGCTGACTTACTGAAATTGCATCGCTGATGATCTTCAACAGAACTTCCAGTAGTGTATTCGATTCCATAAATCTGGAAACAAGTTATAAGTTATATAATCTATAAATAAATTGTTAATTAGATTGGGCGAAGAGCTTTTGTAATCCCACTTCTGATGTTAGAAAATGTATTAAAATATAAAAGTATTATATAAGAAAGGGTAGATTTATATTCATATATCGAATAAAACAATTGATTAAAACATCTTATAACATTTTATTTACTGGACATATTATAATTTTACAAAATATCGTCTTTCGTAAAGGGAAGCTATACAATATAATATACTTATCTCGTCTATATAGTCTTTCGGTAATTGTTTCTTTTAGAGTCGCTGCCCAATAGTTTCACTATAACCACAGGGTTTCAATTGAAGTTCTGGCCAAGGCTGCTGTCCGATGTAAAGTCCCTTGCCTTGGCGAAGAGCAATGTTTTATAGGTCCTCCTAACACCACACGGTATTCAAGATATTTACTTTTTAATTGTAACAAAATATATATTGAAAATATAATCTTATATATATATATTGAAAACATAACTCTTAAATAATAGAAAATATTTTAGTAAATAATATTTAGAAAGCGGGTTCCAATTTAAAAGTATATTAAACACATATTTGACATGTTACCGCTTTTATACCCAAGTCTTATTCTTACTTTTTAATAATAATTCCTTAATTATAAATCAAATAATATTCTAAATACAATAAAATATTATTTTAAAGATTTAACAGTTTTTAAACAAAGCTGACTCCAATATAATTATATAATAATAGTATATTAGACATTCGTTTGACAAATAATTGACGACACAACACTTTTGTAAGTCAAATCCTAACTATTCGATTATTTAAACTGTAAATGACAAGATATATATTTAAATACAAATAGTATATTTAATAAACATTGTATAATTATAGAACATATATCCTTATACGTGCGTAGGATGACTGTAATTTACTTAGTTCTATCTAAATTTGAGAAAAAAAAATTACCTACATAAAAAACTATAAAAATTGTTCCAGATACCGATTCTGAACAAACTACTTTCAGGGTGTGCGTTAATTATGTTACACGTTGTATATATAGATATATGTTGTTTTTTTATTTATGAAAATTGGATGATTAGTCTTTCGAAGTTTGACATCGTAAATTGGGACATGTCAATTACAACATGAATAAAATGCAGGATACTGTGGAGGGCATTCAACTAACTAAAAAGGCTGATATCAACAAGTCTAGTTGTATAGTGTGTCACAAAGGAAAGCAAAGTCGTTTGCCTTTTAGTAATAAGGGAACAGGAGTACTGAGCTATTGCAAGTTGTGCACTGTGATATATGTGGGCCGATGGAGAATATATCGCTGGGAGGATCAAGGTATTTCTTAATTTTTGTTGATGATCACAGCCGAATGACATATGTTTATTTTCCAAAGAGTAAGAAAGAGGCTTTACAGTATTTTAAAGATTATAAAGCAAAAGTTGAAACTTTAACATCTTATAAAATTAAAATTTTGTGAAGTGATAATGGTAGAGAGTTCTGTAACAGAGATTTTGATAATTTTTTGATGAAAATGGGAATTAATTACACATCAAAAATCAAATCTGGTGAATCAAATCAAAACATAATAAAATCTGGTGAAATCATACTTCAGTCATTTGAGAGGTTTTGGTAGTACTGTCATGAAACACATGTCCAAGCAGAAAAGATATAAGTGATAGAAAAATTCAGAACAATGTATACTTGTTGGTTAAACTGAAGATATTAAGGGGTACAGATTATATAATCCTTCAACAAGGGCTATTACAACCAGTCAAGATGTCATCATAAAAGAAAAATTATTTAAGGAAGAAAATATGATTGAGGTAGATGACAAACCCAAACAGAACAGGCTATATCCGTCTACAGTGGGAGAGGTCTCAGATCTAGTAGGAGAGGACTCTGTGACATCTGACGAGGAGTTGAAGTCAGGCACCATGACAAAGACATTACCACAACGGCAGAGAAAACAACCTGATAGGTTGGGATTAATGTGCACAGAACAGAATAAAAATTATTTCACCACTGAAATCACATTTGAAGAAGCATTACAAGGTCTTGAGAGGGAGCATTGGGTCCAGGCTGTCAAAGAAGAGCTGAAAAGCTTTGTAGACAACAGTGCATGGGAAGAAGTTGATATTCCTGTAAATGGGAATATAGTAAAGTGCAAATGAGTTCTCAAGAAGAAATGTGATATGGTGTGAAAGATATGGTGTACACTACAGTGAAACATTTTCTCCCGTAGTGTGTCATACAACACTTACATTATTATTCGTGTTATCAGTGCAATTGAATCTCAATGTGACTTGTCTTGATGTGAAAATGGCTTTGTTGAATGGTGATCTACCTGAAACTATATACAGGGTGACTGGTGAATTACTATCAATATTTAAGGAGAATACTCGGTACATGATTCTCATTCGAATTATGTAAAAAAAATAGGTACTTAATTTTTGACCAAATTTCCGTATAAATAAATAAAGTGTAGACACGTTCCAAGTGTTCCAAGTGTGGAAACGTGCGGCGGCGTGCTGATACAACACCACGCCGCACGCGTTTGTGTGTGTGTGTACATATACCTAATCTGTAGGGTGTTCACTCGATGCGTAATTAATTACATAACTTTTGGTTAACTACACTTAGAAGTTTATTAATATTTATGTTATATTAATTTTTATTTTGTCATATATGATCGTCAAATATCACGTCCTCAAGTATCGATAGTAATTCACCAGTCACCCTGTATATGCAAAACATAAGAAAGTAGATAGTTATATGTTATCAAGTGGTTATGTCAAATCTAAAATTGAACCATGTTTATATATAAAGTCAGTTGGCAGTAGCAAAACAATGGTGACACTGTATGTTGAAGATTTTTTGTTTTTTCAAATAATAAAACTGAAACCAATCATCTTAAGAGCATGCTAGGTGAAATTTTGTGTTGAAAGACTTAGGGATTGTAAAGGAATGTGTTGGTATGTCAATTAGTTTTGATGAACAAAATTGTACTGTTACTTTGAGTCAAGAGAAATATATTGATAAATTATTGTCCAAGTTGAACATGACTGATTGTAAAACAGTGAATACTCCAATGGAGGCAAATTTTAAATATAAAAAGGAGAATACTTGTAATAATGCCCTTGTTTATTATATGCTGACGATCTTAAGATATATTCTGTTGTCAATAATGTCAAAGATGCTTTAAAACTTCAATCAGATTTGGATAGTGTAGATAAGTGGTGCAGGGAAAACAATATGTTGCTGAATGTAAATAAGTGCAAATGTCATTACGTTTAGCCATAGGAGGCAAGAAATCAATTTTGAATATAGTCTACACAATTTATTTATTTTATTTATTTATTTATGTACCAAGAACACGTAAGACAGAAAAATAAGAATAAGAAAGAAACAAAGTGATACAAAGGAAAGCTTATCTCTATGAGAGATCTCTTCCAGCCACCCTGGAGTGTGAGTAATATTATATTAAAATTACAGGAAGGTAGGTACAATTTGAATTTTAGTGACAAAGAATAATTATTACTTTTTTACTTTACATAAACATACATAAATATACATAAATACAAATAATATATACATACATATACAAAATAAAATACATATATATATATACATACATATATACACACATACATACATATACACATACATATACATACATATATATCTAATTTCTAATGTGATGAAATTGAAAGATATTTTTTTAATCTAAATTTAAAGGTATGTACAGAATTACAATTTTTTATAATATAGTCCGGAAGAGAATTCCAAAGTTGAGCAGCAACCACCGTAAAGGATTTTTTGTAGAAAATACCATTATAAGGGGGTATATCAAAAACTTTATTCAAGACACAAGACCGGAGTGGTCTTTCACGCGGTGCAGAAAACTTGAATCGTTCGTAAAGATAGTGTGGAGTTGAGTGATTTAAAATATTAAAAAGTGTGGTCAAAACATGTACATTACGGCGAAAACGAATCGGAAGCCACTTTAACTGACGTCTGAAATGGGAGACATGATCAAATTTGCGCAGTCCAAATATAAATCGAATGCATAAATTCTGAAGTCGTTCGAGTTTGTCAAGTAGCTCATCCGTAGCATCTAAATAGCAAACATCGGCATAGTCGAGGAGAGGAAGTAAAAGAGATTGAGCCAGGATAGTTTTAGTTTTTTAGTGGGAGGAAATTCTGCAATCGCTTCAAAGAATGAATAGAATGATGCATACGTTTGCTGATGTCATTGATATGTGCAGACCAGGACAGATTGCAGTCCAAAGTTAAGCCCAAATTCTTAGACTTATCTACGTAACTTATGGGTAAGCCATCATAAACTACAAAGGGTAATTCACTAAAGTTAATTCGCCCTCTAAGCTGTCTGCTACCAATTATCATGACCTTAGATTTAGTAGGGTTAACTAACAGCCCAAATGAGTCAGCCCAATCTTTAATTAAAACAAGATCATTGTTAATTTTTCCAATGGCGTCATTTAATTCCTTCAGTGAGGCATGTCTGTAAATCTGCAGATCATCAGCGTAGAGGTGATAGTGTGAGGAAATAATTGAAGTAATTTGATTGATAAATACCGAGAACAGCAGAGGTGATAGAACACTGCCTTGAGGCACTCCGGCAGAGAGTCTTGTCCAGTCAGAGTGACTCACCTCACAACGTATACGTTGTTGACGGTCATAGAGAAAAGAATGGAACCAATCAATCGCAGAGGAGGAAATGTTAAGAGAGCGGAGGACTCCCAGCAATAAGTCAAAGTCCACTGAATTGAATGCGCTACTAAAGTCGAGTAAAGTGAGGACAGTAAGCAGTTTGTTGTCCATTGCGTAACGGATATCATCAGTAACCTTGAGTAAAGCAGTGGTTGTGCTGTGAGAAGGACGAAAACCAGATTGGAAGGAAGTTAAGAGATTGTTATTGAGGAGAAAAGAGGATAACTGTTTTGAAACAGCTTTCTCGAGAATTTTAGAAAGTATGGGAAGAATGGATATAGGTCGAAAATGTGAGAAAGAACTGGGATTAGGGGATTTAGGCAGAGGAATGACATGTGCCATTTTCCATGCAGTAGGAAAGACTTTGTTGGTTAAGGAGAAATTAAGAATATGAGTTATAATGGGACAGATTATATCAATGATGGGAATTAACATGTCCCGGCTTATGCCGTCACTGCCAACGGCCTTTGAAGAAATTGAAAGTATCTCTTTCTTAACGTCCTCCTCTGCGACATCTTGAAAAGAAAACGGGAGACATGTAGGAGCTGGTATAGCAGCAAGTTTTTGAAGAGAAGAAATTTTTTTAGAAGATAAAAGTGTGGCAGGTGGAGAAGAGAAGTGTTTGTTAAGGTCATTAAGATTAATTGTGTTATTAAAGTGTGTATCAGTTTTACCAATGCCAACAGTTTTAAGGAATCGCCATGTTTGATCAGTGGAAAGAGATTCGATTGAGTTAAAAATAAAGCGACGTTTAGCGTCCCTGCACAATCTGTTACATAAGTTACGTAATTTCTTGTAGGCAGTAACATACTCAGCTGTTGGATGCATTTTACATTTCAGTTTGGCTTTGTTGCGTTTGGTCATTGCATTCTTTATTGAAGAGGAAAGCCATGGAGCAGGTAAATGCTTAACTCTGACTGGTCTTACTGGCGCATGGACGTCGTACAATCCAATAAGCAATGAAGTAAAGAAAGATACTTTGTTGTTTATGTCAGGTTCATTGTACACAGTAGACCAGTCCAAATTTACGGCATCAACACGCAGACGCTCCATATCAATGTCTCTGAAGTTGCGATGCAGAATTTCTTTACGTCTACGTTTAGGAGTGCTAACATTATAGCGTAGATATAACAGATCGTGATAGGAGAAAGGTGCAGTCAATTGTCCATGTGATAATACATTACACGTTTGAGAAGTAATTATTAAATCTAAAAGAGAAGGATTAGCATTAGGTGGAAAATGGGTAGCCGAGAGAGGAAGAATTGACATGTTTAAAGAAGAAACTAAAGAATATAATTTCTGAGTCCTGTAATCATTTTTTAGTAGGCACGTATTAAAGTCACCCATGATTATTGTGTCACTATAGGCGGGAGATAAATTTACTAAGAGTGATTCGAAAGCATCGAAATAATTAATAGTAGGTAGAGGGCTGTATGCCACCCCTACAAGGAGTGAAGTATGCTTCAGGCGGATCTCAATGAAAAGATGTTCTAAACTACCAGAGTGTGTGGAAGGAGATTGACTTATGATCTTGAAATTAAAATTATTTCTAAGATAAATGCAGACGCCTCCACCGCCTTTGCCAGTACGGTCGTTCCGGATTAAAGTAAATTCAGGTAAATGAAAAAGGGCAGAAGGGAGAGAAGGCTTTAGCCAGGACTCAGAAATAAGAATACAATCAACTAAGATGCCGCTAAAAGATGCTAGAAAATCGGGAAAATGAGCCGGAATGCTTTGAGCATTAATGTGAACTATGTTAAGACCATGTAATTTATTAGTGAAAATGGAACTGAGATTTTGACCAATTGTAAACGAATCATCCAATGAAGAATGGTTACTTGATAGGCTTTGAAAATCTTCAGAAGATGAGCACGAGAAAAAATCATCATCAAAGTACATTGTATCAGACATAATAATATGTAAACTACTTATGTATTTAAAAAAAAAAAAAAAATAAATAAATAAAAATCTTGAAAGATATATCAATAAAAAATAAATAAAAAAAAATAATATGATACAAAAAAAAAAAAAAATATATATATATATAGAGTATTATATAAAAAAATGTATAAATAATTTATAAAAAATATCAAAAATAGAAAAAAGAAAAAAAAAAAAACTTTACAAGCAAAACAAAAAACCCACTCACACTGGCGAAAGGAGAGAGATATCATTAAATTACACAAAAATAACTTGCCAAAACATATTGAAAAGTAATTAACAAATAGAAAATTAAAACAAAAATATTAGTCTTGAAAGAAAAAAAAACAATTAGGGATCTAGGCATTATTTTCGATGAGAAATTTGCGATCATTATGAACACTTAATTGAGAGGAGCACTCAAATTCTTGGTTTCATTTAAAGAGTTGCAAAAAACTTCAAAAATCCTTGTAGCCTTCTTCATCTGTATAAGTCTTTAATTTGTAGCATCTTAGAGTAC